CCTGAACTATGGTCTAGTCTGACACACACACACACACACACACACACACACACACACACACGGCTGTAACTTTGAAACATTAGCTAATCCAGCCTGTTCACATTCAGTGTTGAACAAAAAAAGAAACATGAACTTTGATCCAGCACTGAACTGTGAACTTGACTAGAGTTGTTCTCCAGTATTGCCTTAAGGCCCCTATACACTGAGATTTTGGGCTGTCCCAGACAAAAGCCGACAAATTGGGAGGGATATGTGGTGAAATTTCAAATCGTTATCTGAAAACACCGATCCTAGATCTCACTGTGACATACATATAACAAGATTTAATACAAAGACTTGGTGCCTGCGTCAAAATTCTGATGATGCTAGAAATTTAAAGGGGACACTAGGGACTAAATGTCAGGATATCTCGACTTATGCTGCATCAATTAAATTTGACTGTGCGCTGTCTCTTGTAGGTCTCCCAACTTTATGGACTTGCAACACTAAATTAGAAAACAACATAAAATGATGTGCAATACACTTGTTTGTGTGACATTCTGCACCATTTTTGAATAAAGCTTTAAAAAAAACAAACAGTGACAGCACTACAGTGAAGAACATATTAAAAACTCTTGATACATCCACAGCTACGGCCCAAGACTGTTCTTTGTTTTGCTACATTTTTAAAAGCATGAAAGCAGTGAATATGGAGGATGCAAGTTGATGATGTGTTTTCTATTCACGTTGTAGCACTACTACTTTATTCATCTTGGGTCAGCAGAACAACTTTCTTAGAAGAGTACAGTCTGACATCTACTTTGCATTGTGTGACATTGAATAGTATAGGTAGTCAAGTTGGGATCAACTTGCAGAGCACTGATGTTTTATTGGTGTTTTTTTTTTGTGTGTGTATTTTAGGTTGAAGTATTTTTCCCATGTGTACCTGCTGCCGTGCTGGTCCTGGCTAAACTCCATGATGTGGCCAGCGATGTCTCTGAGCTGCAGGTTGGGGTAGCGGTTGTTCCTGAAGTCCTCCAGCAGGCGGCTACGGCCTGAAGGCATCACATCTGACATGCCATAGCGTAGCCGTGACGACGGGAACAGCTGGCTGCTGGGTGAAAAGAGGGAGGAGCCTGAGCTGGCGGCACTGCGGTACTTGGCCTCTGCTCCTGGGGCTGCAGAGATGAAACGCCCGCTGCCATTGGTCAGGCCTCCTGTGGGGTCAGAGAGAATAGGGATGTGATTGTTGGCACGGTGCACATTCTCAGTCTAATCGTCCAATAGTGCTCAAACTCCAGAAAAGCTCCAAGATTAGAGAAAATCTTATAGAAATACAAAGTCTGAACCAAAAACAAGGAACATAAAACCAAGACGACGCTGAATATTTCTTTAAAACTGTCTTCCTATACACACATACGAATATCCAGAGTTGTGTGGGCATGTACATCTTATAGTGGAAAAAACAAGTCATACTTGTGGACACTTATTTCCACTTAGCTCGAAGCTTGCCATGGTGTATGCCAGCAAGTGGGAAATGTCTTTGCACTGAATGTCAAATGCTGCTGCAATGATTACTTGCATGGGTTAACATGGATTATTTTTTTTAATTGATGACACTGCAGTACTAAATTTTGAGACAGCATCATCAAAATTACATTATAGCTATGCAGCACAGAAACACAGCACTGGATGGCAGCACTGCCTCAAATATTTAGCTGGCCTGTACTAAGAAGAGATACATTTCCTGTGAACATAAAATGTTTTACAATCCAATAAAGTGACAACACAAACTGTCTCAAAACCAAAACACCTCCCTGAGGTCTTAACAGAAATGAATGTATTCTTTACGGTGTTCAACTGCTAGACCAGATTGTGTTGCATTAGTGTTAATGACATTGAGTCTAACATGTGTATTCATTTGTAGTAATTTTATGTGTTATGAACATACATAAAACCGAAGTATTCTCTGCTCTATCTGTACCTATCTATTCTTCTATTTGTTGGTGGTAGATGATCATTATTTAAAACATGACTTCTTAATTACTCCTCCCTTCAAAAGCTGCTACAGTATTTATTGCAGTTTGTATCTGTATAATATGACACCTCCAAAGACTTGAAAATTGCCAAAGCTAGGTAATTTATCACAGTCACTACGAAGCCTCGACTTGGCTCTGTCACTTTGTTTGATTGTTGTTTCATCACATTTGAGTGTTTTGGTACACTTCACTCTGCCAACTGTCAATCATGGGAAACACACAGGAAGAAACAAAAGTCTCAGCCAGTAATGAATCCCTGAAAACATTCTGCAGTACAAATCAGCTGTCACATTTTGGTATTTTAGTTTGGAAAATCTTTTCTTTCTTTTCTTTTCTCAACTGAAACAGCAGTTGGTTAGGAAGGAGATATTTAGAAACACTATTTAAAAAAATATGTGTAAATGTTAACATCTAATTACACATATCTTACACTAGAAAATAAATGTGAAAAATCCTTGGCTATGATATTACATCAGTGCATCTACAAAAAAATAATCCAGTTTACAACTCCAACACCATATTCTTTAAAAATCCAGATATGTCCCCATGTTAAGGCTCAATAAACTGGGAACTAAACTAAAAACAAACTGATGCTGCAGTAAAGCTCGTGGAGCCTTTACAACTGTGTCCTACAAATGCTCAATTAGGGTTTTTGATTATGGGACCAAACAACTGACAGGTGATGTAAATGATGCTAATTGTTGGTCAAAGCTGGTATATTCTGGCCACGTAACTATAGCACTGGCTTTGTGTTTGGCAACAGAGCATCAGCACAGTTTCCACAGAGTAAGGAGCTATTCAAGTGGCACTACTGGAGGGAAAAACAAACACAATCAATGACACTGTTAACCTCAGTCAGTTGAATCAAACACACTCACCGAGATTGAGGTTGGACGAGGAGCTGTGATTGGACAGGGAAGGTGGGGGTGTGAGGGAATGGGAGGGGCCCTGGTTGGGTAGGGGCATGCCCACAGGGCCAGGGGAAGGACTAAAGCCCAAGGTGCCGTTATAAAAGCCTCCATGGCCAATCGGGGTGAGGCTGGAGGGCGTGCGTTTGTACAGCTCATTGTTGCCTGTCAGGGAGTCCCGCCTGGAACCGCTGCCACCACTGGAGTTGGCCACTAGAGGGAGACAATGATATGAATTAGATCATGGTATCTGGGGAAACTGTGAAGTTAATTACTCAAGACAATGTGGGAATGGTGTATTCCTACCTGCAGTGCCGAAGCCCCCCAGTGTGGCCCCCAGTGTGGCACCGAGGGAGGAGGAGGTGGGCTGGCTGAAGCCCAAAGAGGCAGAACCTGGTCCAGGCTGGCCAGAGCCTTGTGAGAAAAGAGAGGAGCTCTGGGAGGAGGAGCTGAGGGAGGAGGATCCGTAGAAAGAGCTTCCTCCCAGAGCACCGCCAGGGCCACCCTGCTGCTGAGGCTGCTGGGAAGTCATGGCACGAAACGGACCGTTGGCCCCACCGCCTAGACCACCATTGGCGCCACTGGCGGAGGCTGCTGCTGCTGCAACTGGAGGGAGAGACAGGTTCAGTCCGAGTTAACAGTCATATGGACAGTCAATAGTGATACTGAATTAATTTAATGAAACCAAGTGCCACCAAGATTAAATCTCTAACAATTCTTTGCATCAACTCTAATGTGAACCCAAATCCTCGTTGATACTAGTGTCTAAAATTCACATGAACAACAACACTGACTCCTGGGAAATCTAAGGCCAGACTTGAAGGTACAGTCTCATAATCTCTTAATTGTATGCTCTGGATGAATGGGACATTCAGAACATGTTTTTAAAAACCACAATGTGCAATCCGTTGTTTTGTGTTTGTGACATTCTTCTTCGTCCTGTTGTCTGCAGCGAACAGAGACGGGCAGGCCCGTCTTTAACCGAGGCTGTATGTGCATTGCTGTCTTACCTGCTTGTGCTGCGGAAGGAGATATGATGACAGAGGCAGGGGCCATGAGGCGGACAGGGCCACTCCTAGCTCCAGTGTTGACCACAAGGGCTCCTGTCTGATCATAGTAGGCTGCAGGGGCCAGGACTGGGTAGCCTGAGAAAAAGACAGAAACAAAGCAACATATTCCGCATTAGTTAAATAATCTGCCTCTTGTTTGGGTATTTATAAGCAATATATCTGGAAATTGTGCAGTAATAAATGTAATTGGGTTTGTTTTGAGTTTTGCCAAAGCAATAAAATCAGTTTTGCATAGTGTCATATTCACCAGGGACTCCTGCTGCTAACCCCTGCCCAAAAGCAAGGGCTGAGTTGACTGCTGCTGCTGCAACCAGCTGGTCGTTCTGCTGACCCTGTTGACCTTGGCTGGGGGTCAAAGGTCGTTGGTTGCCCCCAGCACGCATTACCTTTACAAAGTAAGAAAAACAACAGTTCATGTCATTCTCAATATGCAAATTAATACAAAAAAGGTGTTCCAAAATCTGTTCCAAAGCCCTGAGACCTTGTGGTGTACCGTAGATCTATCATGTTCATATTATCTTGTACACACAGAGACAAATGTTAGCATGTAATAAATAGCCAGGATAAAGGGACATTCCTTATATTAGTGTAAGTATATATGAGTGAAGCAAGAGTAAATAAACAGCAGGTAGATGAAACATTTCCTGCTGATTGTATATCATCGATATCGGCCAATTAGCTTTAAAATGAAACATCAACACGAAAAGAAGACTTCTTCAGATATAACGGGCTGGTAAGATATTGCTTTAATTAGACCATTAACCAGACTAAATGCTTGACGCTGTGTCACCAAGGGGGAAGGTCCACAAGGTATTTTAAAATTAAATATGATATATAAACCAGATATCAAAGTTGCTATTTGCAGTGTTTGCTCATTGTTGGTCATTTCTTCAATACTATTTAATTACCCATCTTAAGCGTCATCGCGTTCATTACAACGAATTTGTAAAGAACAGAGAGAAACGAAAAGTGAAAAACCTCCTTTCAGCAGCTTCGCCTCCACTCATTAAACAAAGCCCAAAAAATATGCCCAACCAGCTGTTTTCAGTCATTTAAGATGTCAGGATTTGTGGACTTTGATGAGCCGCATGCTACATTATTCCCTGTTGCAGGCAACTTTCAAGTGTGGCCTTACGTTGGACTGTAAAGCATATATAGCCTTCTACTTTAGAGACATTAATTAATGTTCTTTCAGTGGGCTTTAATTGCTGTACAGCTGTAGAATGCACTTAACTTTCACATGATCCCTATGGACAGAGATTACACGTATTTACTTGTTTAGCAACTTGTGTAATAGGTCAAATTTTCCCTGGTTGTCATCAGGATTGTCTTCGGGAGAGCATACCCTGACACAGGCTACAAAGAGTTTCCTGCTTATAGATACAAACAGAGCACTAAGACTGAATGCATTTTCAACTGGCACATAAGGAGAGCTCTGATAAAAACATCCTGCGCCAGTGGCTATCAGCATACCAGTTTTTTGGCGAGCAGCCGACTGACCTGCTGTTGGTTCTGCTGGCCCTGGTTTGCCGCCTGCTGATTGGCCGAGTTGTTGGCTGCAGCCGCTTGCTGCTGGAAGAGGTTGGCAGGGTAGACCCCCCAGGGGGTCACACCATAGTACTGGGGAGGCATCACTGCTGGACCTAGACACAAATAAATAAACAAAATACAGGTGAGATAGGACAACTGTGTCTGTGTTTATGCATCTATGGAAAACTAATTAACACAAGGGGGCTCAGGGTCCAAATCAAAACACGCCTCACCGAGTGTAGCTGCTGCTGCTAGTCCGGCTGCGTAGGGGTCTGTCCCTGGTGGAGCAGCACTGATGATGTAAGGATTAGGTACAAATGCTGGGGCCAGACCTGAAAACACATGGAGGGAAAAGATGAACCAGGGCCACAAGGTTTTACATGATAATACATAAAATAAATGAATACCAACTTAGAATGAGGCTTCAACACATGATAACCACTTCAGAACAAATCCACCATTAAAACATAGATTCTAATCAACAAATGAGCCCCAAATGAGGATTTTTTAGGTTAGTGACCATGATTTTTTTCAAGACTTAGGCTTGTTAAGCATTACTTGCTAGTAAACGTGAAAAACGTTAACTCTGCCTTAATTAGTAACTACTGCAACAACATGTTCTGTTCTGTGCTCTTTTGCCCCAAAATAAAAAAAACTAGAAATTGCAGCATCCACTGGGTGACTGGCACAAATAGAATGAAATCCCTGCCAATATAATTATGGGACAGATGAGCTGGTATTTCAGGTAAAATGAATGGTTTAGATAAAATGAAGATCTCTGTAAATGTGGTTGCACTTCCCATTCTGTTGTAAAGCTGTGTTTAGTGATGTATGGTGGTATGGTATGGTCCCATCACTACTAAACTAGTAAGTACAAGGTCAATCAACCAATATGAACGGTGGCAAAAGCTACAAATATTACACCAATGGTGTTAACAAAAAATTCCTTTATTTTTTGTCAGTTAAGAGCACACTGACAGTGAGAAAAAGGTGTTCAATAAATTGTATAATACATTTGAAATAAATGAGATGCTGACATTCAGTTCTCCTGCTCATATGCACACACGCACACACACACACACACACACACACAAACACAATCTCTCTCTTACCAATGTGAGGCTGCTGTGCTGCTGCCAAGGCGTACTGCTGTTGCTGGGCTGCTGTTAACTGCTGCACTGCTAGGGCGTTGTTTCTCTGAAACAGCTGCAAACAGCATAGCGACATGTGAATCACATTTTAGTGTCACTTGAGATGAGTCTTATAGAGAACTAATGACAAATATTCATATATGACCCTCTGCCTGTTGCTCTAACCTGCTGTTGGTTGGTGTAATCAAATAAGCCCACAGTGGGTGCAGAGTCCATCTGCATCTGGGAGTTGTAGTCAAACTGAAGCGGCTCCATCACTGACTCCATGGGGTCCATGGTGACACCACCTTGTTCCACACCAGAGAAGTCCTCGGGAGGTTTGGGGCCTCCACCGCCTCCCAGGGGTGTCAGGCCCTCAGCCCCTACACCCCCGGGACCTCCAAGCAGGTCACCCTCGGGGCCAGGGGCCGGCATGTTGCCTGGGGGACGACTGCAGGGGTGCGAAAGGAGGAGGAGTTCAGTTTACATCTAAAAAGGCTGTTGGCAGAGCAAGAAGCAGTTCAAGCTGTGGGTGTGTGTGCCTCTATCACACTGTGTCCTACCCAAACTCTTTGACGTCGACATCGAGGCCGTTCTGCACAGGCAGCCCATTGGGGTTGATGACGTCGCCAATTACATCAGCTTCACCTTCTGTCAACTCTTTCAGTTTCTCTCCCTCAAATGTCGCCTTCGGCTTCTCCCTCTTCTCCTCCTCTACTTCTCCATCCCTCTGCCCCTGTGTGAGGAAGAGAGACAAGAAATATAACTGAAAAGGAAATGTAGAGATGCTGATAACCTGACAGTGACAGATGGCAAACACACAAAGGTGCAGAGGGGGGAGGATGAGGACAAGGTGAAAGACATCCTCATTTGACAATCACTAGCTGACAGAGGACAAACTAAAACAAAATGACGTAAGCGGGAACAAAAGTTACCAAGGAGGAAATGTGAACGTGTAATATGCGAGTAATGAGAACAACGCTGACGGACAGAAAGAGAGAACAGACTTCCAAGACTTACATAGGGTCCTTTTCGAAGGCAGGAATCCAGTTTGTCAGCCGGTGAGGAGGAGAGGACGTACTCCACCATGCTAACTCCCAGCCCTCCACTCTCAGAGCGCGGTGACATCACCGAGCCCACCCCCACTTCACCACCGCCATGGAAACCCTGCCCTGGCCGACGAGACACCATGATTGGCTGAGACACCGAGTGATCTGATATGAGAGGAACGGAAACAGTTAAAAAACACATTTATGCACAGAGGAAAATGCCACATTTGCTCCACCATTAACAGGGTAATACTGTTGAAGGTCTTTTTGTTTTTTAAACTTCACACAATTTTTTTTGTCCTGACAAGTCAAGACTGTATTTACTGACAAGGTTTCAATGTTCCCTACACCAGGAGCTCAACAACTTTGCATTGCAAAGACATCTAGTTATAACTTGGGAGTGATGTGAAGACTGTTGGACCTATTAACGGACATTTTCCTTTCCTTTTATTGGTCTTTATTTGTATCACTCTTATTATAATGCAGTGCTAGATGCTTCTTCTGTCAAAAGAAAACTTTCTGTTACCCAATTGTCCCTCCTGCCTACAGCTGCATGGGGGGGGGGTGTGTGTGTGTGTGTGTCTGAAACGCCTCTATCTCCCCCCACTATGAGCGAGGACATGTTAAGCTAAACAGCAATATGGCCAAATGCAGATAACATGCCAACAGTTCTATGAAACCATCACTGTATTGTAGTTTCCTGACAGTCCAAACAATACGAACAATTTGAAGTTAAATTTAACAAAAGCATTTAACTCTTATGTATGACTCCACAGCGATACACTGATAAGTGATGCAGGGATATTTCTTTTGTCATCCCGCCTACAAAAATAACTGCATTGTGTTAATAAGACAAACCAGAAATCTCAAATCTCAACATCATCTGAGAGAACATTAGGATGATTTCACTTTGACACCAGCTTTTGATTCTGACAAGAATCTAAATATATATTTTCGAACACCAGACAGTGATTGTTCTGGTAGTTTCTTGATGTGCCTGTGAAATAAACTGCAATGCCCCAGTGTGTCTGCAAACCTTATCACAAATGTAAGCCATGACTTGTATATACCTGAGGCACCCCATGCACTGTCCCTCCACTGGTCCAGAAAGATCCCTTTAGGTCCATCCTTCCCAGAGTCATCTGTCTCCCAGAATTTCTTACCAGTTAGCAGCTGCTACAAAGACACAGGACAATGGAGAGGAGATAAAGGGGGGGCAAGGGAAAAAAAAGCCAAGGTTAAAAACAGTTTATTGAAAGCACATGGGAGAATGGGGAAAAATGTACATATCACAGGTGATTAGGGTCCTCAAGTCTTACCAACCTTCAGAATGTCCTACATTTATTTTGGCTTTTTTGGCACGTGTAAAGATGTCAGCCCTGCATTGTAATTTCTAGTAACACTGTTGTACAATGACCCCTGATTGCACCTCAGTCTAACTGGATGAGTGAAACAACAACAAAATAACACCCTACCACATTTATTTAAAAATAAAGATAATTTTAAGTAGTTTTAACTAGTTTCTCTGAGAGTCTCTAGCATCTTAAGAGCAGCTCATTTGTGTTTCTCTGCATATTTCTCTTCAATTTCTATTACAGTCAGCATCTTTCTCACTATAAAAAGACCTTGTTCCTGTAAACTACTGTGATCACTATCTGCTGGAAACAGGAAACAACTTGGCTGCCTGTGAAATTAACACCGGTTTACACTGATCTGTCTTTTGCAGGTCAAAACAAAGAACGTAACATGTTATTTTCATATTAATACATCTCATTACAGTCTATAGGAGCCCAAAAAATATTGACCCAGTATGTGCCAATATGTGATGCAAACGAACATACATCAGCACTGTGTTCAACGAGCCAAAATTAATTGTAGGCACTGGTCCAACATTAACAGAATAGACAGCTAGTCCAAGCAGCTTCAATTAAAAAGCTTCTCTGCTCAGTCTCTTCAATCTTTCAGAGCTTTTCATTCAGAAAAACAATGCACACACAAGTCCACTCTACTTTTAGCTCAAAGGCCTTTTACTGAGGAACTGATCCATTTCTTTTTCCTTGGATTTCCTGTTTTTCAAGTTAGACTCTCTATGAGCAATTCATCATGTGTCTATTCACCAGGTGCCCAAGTCACAAAATACAAGGCAGCCATTTTAATGGCAAGTACTGACATGTAGCATCTGACCTCTTCAAATCCAGTGAGTTAAAACCCAAGTTTATTTATCAAAAACTGTACTGACACGCTGTGAGTAAACATAGGCCAAAAGCGCCATTATTTGCTGAGGTATTTTAACTACATGGTCAGTCACACAAGTCACCTTTTAGACCATATTGGACCCCAAACATCAAACCTGATGTCTCACCTCTCCCATGGCACGTCCCTCCAGAGCCAGAGCCTGAAAGTCATGGTTGAGCTCATCCATGGACCGCACCTGCAGACAGAGAGCCCAGTGAGACATGGAAAGAATGACAAGTTATGTCTTTCATACTCAACCAATGTATAAACATAAGCTCAACTTTAATTACCTACGTTAATGAGTAATTACCTTCATAAATGTTTTGCCTCCAACATTACCGTAGGCAATAGGTAAATGTTTAAAGACTAACAACTACTAACTACAATTAGCATCAAATAAAACTTGTACTTTTAATATTAAATGGACACTGATGTTTCTGTTATGAAAATTAGAACTGAAATCATGAAAGGCGTTTGTTTCCCTTACTTCCCCCCCCAAACACAGAAAATGTTCAGTTATTTTAACATGTCTAAGGGGTGATATTATGGTTATACAGAAATCCATTTTAAGAATAAAGTTTTCTGTGTACAAATGTTTCTGTGAACTTTGTACGAGCAAACAATAGTACGTGACATAATACAATAACAGTAGCAATGCTGCAATAGTGTGTCACCACTTGTGCAACACACACACACACACACACACACACCTGGCTGTCATGGATGTTGTCTCCAGTGGGCCAGCGATGTTTGCCGGGCTGTTCACCGTGCTGCCGCTGGAAGAAATAGTCTACCATGGCATCATCCTGGGAACGTCCAGCACCCGCCACGCCCTTGAAGACACACACGCACACAGACAGACATGCATATTATCCTGGAATTACAGGCAACAGCAACAAGCAGAGTGTATCTGAGCAACAACTGTAGACACGCAGATATAGGCAGGATTTGGGAGTTTTTGCCCATGTTTTATAGGTTGTGAAATACATGTGAACAACAAATAAACAGCAATATAAACATCTAAACTAATGCCAAATATGATATAAAATAATATTTCTTAGGGATGTACAATATCTTTATGCTGATCATTACTTGCTTCTCATGTTAACTGTTGTATTTTTTTTAAAAGTTCATAACCTGAAGTGATGAACTTGATGGCAAGGAAGGCTAAGATGTAGTGAGCAAAGATGGACGATTTAATATTCCATAGCTCAGACCTAACCAAATCTAACTGACTTTACTGTTGGAAACACAAGAAAAACTGTTTATTTTTTTCCAAGTAAAATTCATCAAAAAACACTTTTATAGAACATAAAGCCTAATATAAGAATTCAAAATAAATCAACTGATAATGTATCACCTTTAATTCAGAATAATACAGAACACACATTTTCCATTATATTTTTTCTATTATATAATTAAAAATAATTCCTTTGAGAAAATTCAATCATTGTCAAAACAGCACCATATGTTGAGGTTTTTAAGGCCACATCTTCTCTTAAAAAACTCAAAGACGTCCAAATAGGAGGAAGCATTTCTTTCACTGGCTAAGCTTACGTTGACTTACTCGCTCTTACTCATTTTGAGAGTAAAGACAAACTTCCCCACAAGAAGCTGTCATCAAAGAATCAGTCAACATGTACTGGACGCAGCTGGGCTTGGTCATCTGCTGTACACGCAAAGCGTGCAGTAGGACAAGTCACCCAGACGCCATTCAATCAGACTAAATTGCTGATTATCAGATGGACTGGGCTGTTTTTTTCCTGGATTAGTTATTAAAAATGTTAACTTTGTTATCAAGAAGTAACAGTCTAGGAAACACAGTCCGCCACACTAGAAGCAACTGTGAAAGGCTAACAGCTGTCCTGCATAACATCAACATCGCCACTGGCCAGGAGAGTAAAGACAGAGCCATGGCTACTAAGTAAAGTAACAACTTCCATTTATTTATCTTTCAGTGATGACTCAAGCATGTTTGCTGTACTACATACTAACAATGTCAGATTCCATCTGATTTTGTACTCTGTCCAGTGTTTAGTGTATAATTTACTTGAAAAACATAACACTGCCAAGCAGAGCATTAAATGATATGAGAGGCTCTTCCAGCTCTCCCTTTTAATCACCATGTGCCATGTTGATTGTGCTAGCGTGCTATATGAGCTGTGATAATCTAACTAACATGATTGAGCAAACAACAACAAACATGTAATTTGCAGACAATGACAAGTATAGTTGCTAATAGTTAGTAAAGCTGATCCATTGACATTTACTGTTTCAGAGTTAATCAATTGTAATAAGGCCACCATTATTTGGCTGTTTTGCATTGTACATTGTAACATAATAAGGAGCTTGATCTGCATGCATGCTCAGACTAGGTGGGCTACTGTGTTTTAACATTTTGTGATGTAAACTAATAAATGTAGGGATTGTGAAATGGCTTACAAGACAGGGAGATAATATCTCTATCTACAGTCACATTAATGGTGAGATGTTCCTTATTCACAGATGATCGTCTATGAATGAATGAAATATGTAAAAGGGTATCAAGGTGAAGGGTTTTACCTGCTGGCTGGGGGGTGTGGCCTGAGGGGTCTGCCCAGTTGGAGGGGCATGTCCTCCGCTGCTCAGCACCACGGGCATGCTGGGAGATGTAGTTCTATGGTGGGGGCTGAATGAATCCTGCCAGAGCACTGCTTTCCTCTTCAACACACACACACTGCTCATTCCACCACAGCCTGCCGAGAGAGAAACACATCTGTCACATGTGACACCGACATACTGGGTCACTACATTAAAATCCAATCAGTGCTGATAGTAAATAAACTCAATTAAAGCAATAAATTCCTCAGTGTGTGCTATACTTGGCGAGAAAGCCCTCTGCAAAATATGTTGTTCTTCCAAACCAGTGCTGTCATCTGACACGTACAGTAACATAGTTGGTGTGAAGGAAGACGTATCGGCTATTTCAGCTTTGATTTCTAGATACGGCCGAAGAATTGCAGCGGGAAAGACAAAGAAGTTAGCAATTAGCAGAAGCTGATCTGCCGAGAATAAACAGCAACTGGTGGTGGCTTTATCATTCTGCTGCAACGAATGTCAGCGTGGTCTGTAAGGCTATACAATTAATTACAATCATGATTTCAGCATCCCCAAACTGGACATTCAGCCTCAACTGAAGTCAACTAGATAACAGAGTAGCAGGTTGGATGCTGCTAACTGTTTTTTAATGTCGCCTTTTGTGAAACTTTATATTGCAGCGCAGTGCATCCTGCTACGTGATCCTTGCAGGTAGAGGTGTGTGTGTGGGTCTGTGTGTGTGTGTGTGTGTGTGCGTGCTGCTGTTTGTAAATGTACCAGAGGAAACAATACAACTACGTGTTAAAGAGAAATGGTTCTTGGTAGTGTTGCGTAACTTTGAAAAGCACCCATCAGCTAGCTGGCTGGCTGTGGGCATCAGAAGCCAGCAAACAACGCATCCTGGTTAGTGATACACAATATGGATTTTATTTTTTAGCCAATACAATAACTGATAACTACCTGCTCCTCAAGGCCAGTACCAATAAGATAACCGATAATGTCACAT